GAATATCGTGCCAACTGAAACATGAGGTGGCCTGTGTGCAGCACATTCAGAATATCATAAACGAGAGATTCAGTTGAGTCTCTCGTGAAAACCGAATTGATTTGCAAATGAATGTCTTTCTCGAATACAGTTAAATACCACTTTTCAGGAAACAACAAGTGGTTTGTTGGCTCTAGAAATGTCAAAAACAAAGTAAACATTTGAATATCTTATTTTTTGAGCTTAGAGAAAACGTGAAACGGTCGAAAAGATGGTTGAAAAGGTCACAAAATGCAAGCTGATTCTCGGTAAGGTGTTTTATTTATAGGCTTTTCCATACAGTTTGTCTCAGTGTTGTCATTCTCTCTCCATAACTCTCCAGTCATGGATATTCAGATCTTAATTGGCCGTATTGGTTTGTACGATGACCTGTATTGAGCCCCGCACAAAAGTGATTTGCTTATCTAACTGGGTGCGGTTTTCCAGTGTTTCAGTCCAGTTCCGACGCCAGTCATTCAATCTACTTCTAGTGATATGTAGTTCACTGACCTCCGCCCGCGGTGCATCACCACATTACCCCGGATTCCGAACAAATGCCACTTTCCACGACGCGACCCCAATATCCCAGTTGGTTAAACTGAGCAACATAATGACAATTCACGGTCTAGCAAGCAACCGCGAATTGCTCTGGGATTGATCCACACGTCACCTTACAAAAAAGCCCAAATAAATTGATGCAAACACGTTTGAATCGTTTTTGGATATTCCATGAAAAGTGGTATGCACCGAGTATTTCATCAATGAATGATAAAGACGCTTTTTGTGGTCCTAGGACTCCCCTCATTGTCGCCGCACTATTCAAGTGATAACCAAAAGCTACCTTCCGGTCTTACCGTTGCAAATTGCACTTGGTTTTGAGAACTAACTCAGCGAAGAGAATTCACTCCTAGAAAGACTTTGGCCAGCCGAGAACAAGCTGGTCACAGTCGAAAATAGGCTAAAACGATTTTTGTGCAAAGAACAGTCTTGGTAAACCGTTTGGCTTGGTTAGCAAGAAAGAATAACGCAAGTGGTCTGCTAGCAGACTTTTGATCTTGATCATGTTCTACACTGGGAATGAAATTATCTATTGAGTTGTTTTTCCGCAAAAAAGCAAGCTGATGAACAAATCCTGCAGGGTTTAGCTGGGTATAGTTTCAATTTTTAATAACGTTTCTTGGAAGAAATTCCCAATTGGACAAGAGCGAAATTCAGCCTAAATCCGAGAATGTTGGAATGGGTAACTTTTCGGTACTGACTACCGAATTCAATTGTTCTTTTTCGCTGCAAAATTTGGATCCCTTCGTTACTTACCAGATTTTAAAAACCAGTATTCTTCAACCGTAAGAAACAAATTGTCCAACGCGGCACAAAACATGAAACACAAAGGAAAACACGTTTTTTACCTGATTAAAGAGTTTGCATGGTGTGTTCCGCGAAACCGAAACAGGTGATTAGCACACAGCATGTGTCTTAATTTGGTGTTGAATACCGCTCGTGTGGATGCCTCACTTGTTGCAGCTCAGTTTGTGGCTCACAAGGGACGGCCTCCTACAGTTCAAACAATTTATCGGTCTTTTAGTTCAAGTGTGGATCAATCATGGTCTAATTGACAGAGTTGCGTTTCACGATCATTGTGCTCATTGGTGCAAGGTAGTACAATTTGGGAGACCATTAATACTTCGGAAATATTTGTTTATAAACAATACATTTATGATTCTAAACTTTCGCATCAATATATCAAATAAAACACCACTCTTAGGGATGCACAGGTGACCTTGAATTGTTTGGCAGTCAAAAGTTCCCATGTCGAGTGAAATCTTTCAATTGTTGGTACTTATCAGGACAGTCCAAGCCATCTTAAGTTCTAAATGGCATTCCATCAGACGGTTTGCAAATATCCGATAAGAGTTCCAGGCGCAATAAATTAGAATGATCATGAAGGGGTAAGGAGCTTAATCGCCGGTTTTCTCTTCTAATATCTGCCAACTTCAGCAAACTTTTGCCACCCTTCTTTTCCGTTCGTATCAAGAAGCTCTCTATAGACAACAAGCATAACTAGCAGGAAGGGTGTATTTCGTTTCTCAGCTTTCAGTCACGCTCTGCCCCCCTAGCGGCTCAATTTTTTCGAAAGTGACCTCTTCCTCTCTTCCTAGCAAACCCGATATAACGAGGCGCTGATCAGCTGCCTAATTCCACCCAAACGAACGAGCGAGTCTGCTGGAGAGTTTCATTTCTTGCAAATTCCAGTGAAGGACCAAGCTGAAAGTGATAATTTTCTGTTTCGCAGCTAAAAAGGACTGGCTGAAGGACCAAGCTGAAAGTGATAATTTTCCGTTTCGCAGCTACAAAGGACGGCCTAGTAGTGACTGGTTTTATCCAGCCGTATAAAACATCCAAAGAACAAATCTTCCGAACAGCTGGTGATAGTCTGGCGTTTAGTCATCGATAAATCAAAAGCGGATGTCCCAAATCCAGAGTCGAAACCCTTATCTCCATTTCATCCAATGAACGCAGGACACGTAAGCAGAAACAAGAATGTCATATTTCGGTTAATCTGCCGGTCGGTCTGACAACAAACTCTGGTGGGACGATCCGACAAACAAGCAAGTGCAAGCATGAACTGTTTTCTAACGGTATTACTGTTCATCTGGTGATCTTGTTTCCAGACTCTTGCAGCGGTGCAGCTGCGTATCAGCGATCCGGTGTTCAAAATTTCACTGGTCTGAATGAACAACGAAGAGATGTTAGGTCGAGACGTAGTGTCATTTACTCTAAGGGTTTTGTTCATCAGTAATTTGTGTTTGGTATCACTTGTCCCGTTTACAGAAAAGTCACTCAATACTATAACAGTTCAGGAAAACTCTTTGGAGCATTTGTTAGTGCCTTGAAATGTGGATTGTCCCATCGTGGAGAGGTATCTTTTCGGAGATTGTGTCTACATTTGGGGGTATGATTCCCATAAGGATGAGAGTAAAGGGTTAAAACAGCAAAAGCAGTTCCACTATTTCTCCAATTACGTCAAATCTATCTGGTAATAATGCCCACGTAGTTCCTTAATGCTGCGCATCATTTGCTTTGTCTTTTGAAGGCTGTTGGCTTTGTCAATACTTGGTTGACAGAAAAGCGTTGGAGAATTCCGTTTGAATACCATCCCCAGGCTCCCTGTCAGTGTTTGGAATGTGCCTCTAACATGCATGTTCGGGTAAAGCATGAAATGATGTCACCTCTCCTTTTCACCATGACGGCTGGTAGCAAGTTTTAGCGAATGACTTCTTTGCATGGTAACTTTAGAGTCAATAGGGGATAACTCACTACTCATAAGGTTGCTGAAAACTCTTAGACATTATAAACCAGAGATTTAGCTGGATTCGGTTGATTCTCATGTGACTCAGAGTAGCTGGCGAGTAAGTAAGAGCTCACAAGCCCTCCGCCTCTGATGGGCGAAGACTGTCGGATTGACCAGTGGTCGGTCTCAGTAGCTCCTCACAGTATGTGCTGGAGTATGATCAAATGACCTGTTACGTGAGGATCATTATGAGACGACAATGAGAGAAGCATCTCAAAAGACGTGTCGCCGCTCCGTGAACATGCTTGATCTTTGCGATTTTTGTGTCTGTATCGTAACACACTGCGGATGGGGGCAAACCTGAACGGCGTAAAGAACTTCGAAGGGTGTTGAATTTCACTTGGCGAATAACCTGAAAGTGATACTGACGAGTCTACCTAACCTGTTGGTTGGTCTGCTTTCTTCAAGTTAGGACAAAAACAGTGTGGTTCCATCGAGATGGAAGGCAGTATCTTCACTGGCGATTTGCAGATATGAGCACAACAGGTCCCCTTTCTTCTCTCCTGTACAAGACGGCTAAAATCACCCAGAAGAAGATTTGATTAGTCATTTGTGGAGGATTCGGTTATGTGGTCTCTCCGAAACTACGACCAGATTGTTCTGGGCGGATAATCATTTTGGAGCTAACGGAATGTCCTCGACTTTATTTGCAGCTTCTAGCTGAATACGCAGTGTATATCCTATTGAGGTTTACAGGGGTCATTTCAGCACCAGGTTCAGAGATCTTTACCTAAAACACAAAGCTTGGTGGCTGGTACGATCAAAATGAGGCTGCATTTTCGTTGGATCTTTAATCAGAATGACGATATTAGTAGCGTTAATTGAAGTCCGTCATCCGGTTATTAGGGCTTATTAGTACTTCGGGAAAGCTGCTAGACGCGCCTAACATTACCCAACCAATTGCGGCATCAAAAACCACGGACGAAAATGGGTGGCCTTGTCAAACATCGAAGTTTAAAGTAAACGTCATGGTCTCTTTTATGCGTACCTGGATACATGAGTAGTAAGTTTTGATGGAGTTCACCAACCTATCCGGCACACTTTCAGCTTTCAAAGCACACAAGACGCACCCCCCATAGACTGAGTTAAATTCTGCAATGAAGTCAATAACTCAATCGATGGTTGGTTTTTGGAACTTGTAGCAGTGTTGCAAAACAAGGCCTCCCCTGTAGGGAAAACTCCCTTATTCTACCTCACGTAAGATATCTTCGCTTTTCCGAGAAAGAGCAGTAATAGTATGGCAAAGGTTCTGACCACGACATTTGTCAAGTTGATACCCATGTAATTCTCGCAAACCGCTCTGTCGTCCATTTTGGATAGCAGTAATGGCATAGAGGTACCTCGATCCACCGAGTACACCTGAGCACAACATCTTTGAAGAGGTTCGAGGACTACCGGCAGACAGGCTTTGAAGGTTTCTGATGGGATGCTAGCCTCATCTGGAGACGTTTTCCTCTTTAGTAGCTTGATTGTGTTGATTAGTCCCCTTTGGCTGGAAAGGTCGCAATTAATACACGGCGTGGAGGTTCTGGTGTCTGTACTGAGCAGCAACTGAGTAGCAAGCTGAAGGGTTTAGTCCACTTCTCCATTTTTTCGTAGTCCATCATTAGCTGACTCTTAGCTTGCCATATCATCGGTATGTAGGTTCACGTGTAGAGGATACGAAATGGTGATTTTGTGGATTATAGGTAGCTCGGGTGCGCCGACTGGTTGTTGGTTTGTTTGCCGAGCTTGGCAGTTGGAGTGTAAACGTTTCCTCACCAATGGAGGTGACATAGTCAGTGCGGGGTGGAGTGAGACCCACGCGCAGTTGGACCTTCAAGAGATTATTCCCTTCAGGATGTCACTAGGATGTAGTTTATTAGGAAACTGTGCAACCGACCACTTACCTGGCCAATGTCCTTCAGGATCTCGCGGTTGACTGTACACTTGGTCATCCCGTTTAGCTCAACGTAGAAATTGTCCTTGGAGAGAGGTCCGGTTGAAAAGTAGAAGCGTGGACGGCTATGCCGGTCCTTGAAACGGACTGTCACAACCCTAAACGACACTGGATTGCAAGAGTGCAAGGGTCGTGATCGCATTCGCCAATGAAAAGAGTCACAACACACAGGCCATAGTCAAGATTTGGGATCTCTGGTGTTTGATCCGCTGTGAACAGAAACCAGGAAACCGTCTATCTGAAGAGTATTCATTTTCGACTTGGTAGTCAACGCTGCTTCATAAGGCGAGATTCTGGTTTCCCAGGTTAAGCGGAATAAGGACATTCCAGCGGCCCATACTCAGTGGTATCATGATTTTTATGCGGAGGGGGTGGGTTGAGGGAGGCCCAACTCGCTTCTTAAACCCCTGAAATTCCAGACGCAGCCCCCAGGAAACAACAGGATGTCATGGTTTGCGGGGACCAACACACAATCCGCGAGTCGACTCAGTGGGAATCCTGCCTTTCTGACGGAGTAATGCTCGCCGTGTAATCACACCCACGTGGCATTTTGTAGGAGGTTCAGTTACAAACCGAGAATCCGCAACGCCCCGGTGCCTCCCAGGACAGAACACCACTATCCCATGTAAAACAGGAGTCACACTATGGTTAGCGTCGTCACGCCAAAATTAGGAGGTTGATCTTGCAAGTGTTTAGCAACGCGTCGAACATTTCGTGTAACTTCAGCCAGATGCTGAAGAAACGTTACAATCGTGATCTCTGTTTTTTGGGGTGGTGGATTCACTAGCTCCCAAACCATGGATTGCCCTTCTTCTCCGGACAAGGGTTCAAACAAACAAACACGTGTGACTCAAAAGTTTATTCATAGGGGATGCTTCGTTTTGCTTTACTTTCCATGCGCAAAGAAAGGTATAGGCGATTAGTGGACTCGATCGATGATAGTAATAACCACTCACTAGGGACAATTCTGGCAACCATTTTTGACTAACAGCTCCTCGTGTTAGCATGGCACTTGAAAATAGACGTTCCTCTGCACGTGTTTTTTTTAAATCTGGAGTACCTTTGAGATAGGTAGATAGGTAGCTGTAACACCCTTCCGGTGCCTAGCTGCCATGCCACCCGAAGGAAGCACGAGGGCTGGGTTACTGCCAGGTTGCCCAAGCCTAGACAGGGGAAGTCGAGTGGCGGAGGTCGGATTCGAACCACGGACCTTGCGGTCAGTAAAGTGCGCTCTAACCACTTGGGCCAAAAAATCCCCTAAATCCTATGTGTTGGCCTCAGATAAATTACACCAACTATCGTGTACTGACTTAGCATGGGCACAAGGCGTCTATCGGAGCGCACTCCATTTTTCAGTCGTACTTCTGGTGGGATCACCTGGTGTAGACAGTTTTGTAATTTGCACGAGCATTCACAATGACATTGCGAAATACTACCATCTCAAGTGCGTTTATTCCTTATTGCTCCGTTCACCAGTACACGCACCCAACATCACGTTGATGATGTGTTACTGAGAACGGTAACTGTGGTCAACACCTAGTTAGTGGATCCAAGACAATAAAACCGTTCTCGTTCATAACTGGAAGTGCAGGTTGTCTTGTGGCTCCGGTTTCCTACGGTGTGTGTGTGTGTGTGCCAAAAATAACGTGACTATATGAAGTATCAAACTAGACCGGATTGTCATCTAACAGATCGGTCTGTTTCATTGTTTACCAACCTGTACCACCTATAGATGACGCCATGTGTGGGGTCTTTCAGAGATATTCATATACGAATGTGAGCGGTGAATTACGATGACTAGACGTTAATGGCTCCCACATTCTATAGTCCTCTCCTTCAGCTGTGTCGTAAATCTGCCCCGAACAAAACGATATTTATGGAGAATCTTTGGCGCTACTGGAGGGGTCCTCAACCTGTTATGCAGTTCACTAAAAGCTGCTATTGGCAGAAGTTACACATTCGAGTCTATCTACTCTCTAGCGTGGCCAGCACCTGATTTGTTGGTCACAGTCATTTCTACTGAGGTTCTCGTGTGGGGCTCATTATTTGGACCGAGGTTATCTCGGGCTCATGTTAGAAGCAAGACAGATTTCGTCAGGACAATCCTCCTCTATCGCACATCTCTCCACTGCTTGTTAAAATTTAAGACAAACGTGCGTAAATGCACACATCAAAGCTATTTACGTTACGGAGCTTGTAGGCTAAGAGCATGTGGGATCCGCTTCCACAGGGCTACTCCGTTTCACCTAATCAGAGCATTTTTGTGGTAAACTGGAAATCCACTCCACCCCAGGCGACCTTTCATCCATACAACATGTATCTGGACTTTGTGCACGGAAAAAACTATGTTAAGAATTTGAACTTACTCCGGCTGACAATAGAGGTTCATCCTAGTCACAATGTGTGATGCATGAGTTACGCCTACCGAGTTACCACCTGCCGAGCGGAGAGCTGTTTTCTAATATGAGGCCTTGTTCAGATAAACTGACATGGTATTGTGGAATTAGAGCACCCGTGTTCTCCTTCGGTGATGATGATGATGATGATGATGCATTTTGTGACGTATGCATTTTACGGAGGCTGAATTGGTCACAGGATACTCCTGCAGGCGTGTGACGTGGCAAGTTGAGTTAACTGCTATACGCGAGCTTCCGGCACTGATCTTGCTTCTGTCCTCACCCACAATGGTAGGAGATTGCAAAATTCATAGGTGCCGCCCTCTTACCCATTCTATCTCAGTCATTAAAAACCATTGTTAGTGTGACGAGATTTGGGAATTTTCAGTTGAGATTTTCTCCTGTAAGTTGAGCCAATTTATGCTGAAAAGCCGAGAAGCACTGCACATCCCATCCTTGTTGGGACTCGCCAGCAGTGCGCATTTCACGAAGAGAGTCTTAAATCTGCGATCTCTTCACCAATAGTTTGCCGACTTTACCGTTTTGCCATGAGCGGCTGATCAGCTGTGTGATTAACTCGCACTCAGATGAGCCATGGTACCACTCATCTGTCAGTCAAGTGATCCATATCACGTGGTCATGTCCTGCTTGGTTCTCCAAGTGGCGACTTCCTAAGTGGAAGTCCCACTCATCGTCGTGGCCCATCAGTGTATTCAAACAACAGTTCATGATCTAAAAGAGAAAGCAAACCAAATGATATGTGTTCAGGACTCTGTCAGTAACGTCAAAATCCCACTACTTACTTTTATTGTGAATCAATGCTTTTCTTATACCGAGAAAATGGGGCTAATCTACAACAGGATTTTGATGTACAGTGGATGGGAAGGTAACCGGTTTCTGAAATGATAATACGAAAAACCAAACTCCAGCTCAGTCCCCAAAGCGAGGAGTAAAATTATGTTACTTCAGAATGAAAATGTTGTTTGATGCGACAAGAGCGATTTTATTTCATTGTGTTCCTTATTCCAGACTGTTTAATTCATGAGAGGCCGAATGATTTTGCTGAAGAATCCAGCGACCACTGAATAACTTTCACCACCTGTATGGAATTTTTGAAAGAACACTCACAGTGTTCGGAATAAGATAGGACTGCGCGCAACTGCGCAACACATTACAGAGTGTTGCGCAGGTTCTTTTCAAGACCTTGGTGTGACCACAAAAGCTTTCAAGAGTACAGTTCGACCACACAAACCAACTGGAACCTTCAGGACCGATTTCCTTCCAACTGCGACCTGGGTTGCATATGATAAGCCTGCTTTCCTGCCATCCGATACTTACACATGGATGCACTATGTCCAGCAATTCAGAACATCGGTTTACTGTGAACTGGCGGAAAATCATCAGATAGTGCTGGATGAATTGAAACCCCAGATCACATGTCGATGTCACGTGCAGGTTCATTCGCATATAACCAACCAGATGTGTTCATAAAGGAAACTACACACAAGGTTGCTGAAAACACTTCGAAGATTTTGTGAGTAGTTTCCTTTATGAAAATATACTGCGATATCTCGAATATCGTGCCAACTGTAACATGAGGCGGCCTGCGTGCAGCACATTCAGTTGTAGAATATCATAAACGAGAGATTCAGTCTGGTCTCTCGTGAAAACCAAATTGATTTGAAAATGAGTGTATTTCTCAACCAGATGTGGCTTTTCGGCGTGGCCTTCCGCCGCCGAGCCAAAAACGTGTTTCGTGTGGCCAGCGCTAACCAGTTCAGCCCTGAAATAACACTATTTAGAAGATTGCTAATAGCCACTCGACAGCGCACGCTTGATTTCGCCCTTGTAGTAATTCATTAGGTAAGTGCAGCCCCTTTTAGGTCAACATCATGTTCGGCGTGAACCCAAATTATGCCAAATCCGCGAAGTATACTCATTTGCTCACCAGTCTGGTTTTATTGGGAGACTCGACTGAATCTCTCTACAACTGAATGTGCTGCACCCCGGCCGCCTCATGTTTCAGTTGGCACGATATTCGAGATATCGCAGTATATTTTCATAAAGGAAACTACTCACAAAATCTTCGAAGTGTTTTCAGCAACCTTGTGTGTAGTTTCCTTTATGAACACATCTGGTTGGTTATATGCGAATGAACCTGCACGTGACATCGACATGTGATCTGGGGGTTCAATTCGTCCAGCGCTATCTGATGACTTTCCGCCAGTTCACATTCGACCGATGTTCTCACTGCCTAAAACAACCACTCACCAAATGATAATAGCTTCACGGTAATTTGTGAATTCACTGTGTGATGCATGGTGTAGCAAGAACGCAGACAGCAACCGATTTTCCCCCCGGGTATTTCAAAATGTGATCTCCTATGACTTCTGCGTGGTCGGATCAAGTCGTTTTTGTTGCTCAAGCATTTTCCCTGGCAAACAAATAACACACCGAACGGGAGAAGTGACACCCTCCACAGATAAAGGGATGATAGACAATCCTTAGATCTTGCACTGCAGGTGCTGATGCCAGCTGCGGTCCCAGGGTCGCCTTCGGCGGCTGTGCACAACACGCTGACTGCCAGAACAACCCCCCGAGCCGGTCCCTTTAGGTGGAAGTGATGAACGAAAGTGCATGCGAAGCTGCTGACCAACTGAAACAAAAGCTCGGCGCCTAAGGAGGCGTCCAAATAGTCCGTTAAATTTATATTTTCCTCCACAACAGCGCGACTTCTAAAGCAATATTAGTGTTTTCTTTAGGGCGTTGGAGTATGATGAACGCCGTCTCAGCTCCCCAAATCACCAAGTTCGACATGGATACTGGGGCGGATTTTTTGTTACAAATGACAGGATATTGCGTAAATCACAATATTCGCCTATCTGTCCACCGCTGAGCTTTAATCAAAGAACGCATTGAGCAGCGATGATTTGGAGACAGTTTCGCTTTGCTTATCAGTAGCTTATCACTACCTCAGATCAGCGGGCAGAGCAAATAAATGAGGTATTACAAATGGATAGCAAGGGTCACCTATTTTTATAGCCAGTTTATCATGGTAAAGCGAGCTTCAAAGCAAAGTGACAGAGGAAACATCAATCAAACATCTGTATCACCATGTTAGTTTATGGAAATTCACCGCGGTTCGTTATGAACAGGAATGTTGGTAGCTCACGTCGTTTGAGTGGTCCTTGTTCTGTTCGCTTAGCTGGTAGATTGGTTGCAAAGGATTTGATGACATCATTGTTGCGTGGGCGATGTGTCGTAATGCATCGGTGTGTACGCGTTCATCACCACTGTGGCTGTGCTTTAATATGCATTGTTATTCCGGGGAAGGTGGATTCTGATGAGGATGATCGGTCCCGTTTATTCTGGCGAGCTCCCTGATTGGTCGGCATCCAGACTGACCTGGACTGGACTGGACAGCAAAACAAATACGTGAATACATCAGCAGCTGGCACTAGATATTTTTTTCGGCTAGTTGTGTACTTTCGAAACTCAGCTGTTGCAAATATTACAGTTTATAATTGCATCAAGACTGACACTATCCTGCCTGCTTTAATAACCCCAAAATCAGAACGGTTACCCGTAGCATTGTGCGGAAAGACATTCTTTTTGTGGCCGAACAGGTGTGGACCGTGGCCCGTTGGGTTGGTTGAGCAATGTACCATCTCCTGCTCTAGCTTGGATCCGGACTGGTTCACGGGACCGAATAGCTACAAAAGTGGATTTTGATGAGCACCAGGCCACTTAGATAAACTTGGTCGTTGTCTTCGACTTTTACACACACGACCATTTGTTGGAGCAGTTGCTGACAGTTCGAACTAAGAGCTATACTCACCAGGGTCTGACGCAAAGCCATTACAGGCAATCAGTGGTTTTGAAACAATACACAATCATCAATACAAATTGCTTACAGTCCTTGTGAAATTCTAATAAGCTATTCCGGGGGTTTCTTGCGCTCCATACATAAAGCTATTGCTACTATCGATCGAACCAAGACAACCGTAACAAGGATAGAATACATCTATTCACTAGGGTTCCTCTGCGCCCCACCTACCCACTCATCCACCCGCCCACCCATCTGCCCATCTATCCAAGCCCTCCCCCCGTCTCTATCACCCTCAACACCACTGACATACCAAACAAAGCCGACGACTTGGTATGCGCACCCATGTGTTTTACCGAAGCGAAACGGTCGACGTACTAATACAACATCAACAACAAATGGGCAGCCGACACGCTGCCGCTCTTGTGTGTGTGTGTGTGTGTACGCTTGCACCCAGCAGACCAACTGCCAGCTCCCATCGGCCCAACAACAACAGCAACACACGTGAAAAGCCGCCACGCGCCCTTTTGCGCGCCCACTCGCGTTAACTTTGAAGATGACTCAGCTGTCCAACAGGTCGCGCTTCGTGACAGTAGCATAGCGGGGACGGTGGGCGTGGATATCAGCAACAATGGACAACAGTGGTATCAGCCGCAGCGGCGGGAGCAGCACGGACATAAATCTCTGCATGGTGTGTTTTAACACCAGAATCAGCTAGTATGTCATTTTTTTTTCAGTACTTTTAAAACCGCCAAATAAACATAAGTTATCAGTGTGAGGATAATCGATAAGCTATATTCTACCTGACATGCTGTAAGCCGTTTGAATTGTTTACACAACCTTATGCAGGCAGTTCACTAGTTTTCGGCTGGTCGGAACTCAACCCCACTTTACCGCAGCCAAGAGATGTGGCATGACGCCTCGCGAATAAATGACCGCGAGGAATCGCTCACTCACCAGCACATAAAAGTCTTATTGTTTAACTAGATATGTGAGATAAAACTTCAGATCCTACGATACAGAGTTAAGAAAGTAAAGGAAAAATCCTTCAGCTGTAGCACCGGCGCCTAGCTGCCATGCCAAACGAAGGAAGCACGAGGGCTGAGATACTGCCGGGTCGCCCGAGCCTAGACAGGGGAAGTCGAGAGGCGGAAGTCGGGTTCGAACCACGGACCTTCCGGTCAGTAAATCCGCGCTCCAACCACTTTGTCCATGTCGCCGAGATAATCGAAAGATCTCCATTAAAATGTGATTGTAAGAGAGCTGCATGGTCCACTCGACCACCTATATGGCCGTTTAGTGTATATCTTCAAGTTACTGAAAGCCTTCTGCGACCTTGTAAGTCAGACAGCTGGCAGTTTGAACTACCGGGGTTTCCATGCATGCCCTAGTACGTTCAACAAATACATCGATCATTCAGTCCAATCCAGGATACTGTTGGCCTTCTGGTTGTGGCACCTCGTTGTACTTTATCATGTGTGGTCATGTCAAAGCCGAATCCCAAGCCGGTGTGACGTGGAACGAATTGCGACCAGACTTGAAGGCTATACTACTTCTTCCTGTTTAGGCTAAGGCTGGAATGAAGCTAATAAGGGAAGAAAACCGATGGTTCCCAATGCCTGGTAAACGAGCACTCACGGAAGTGATCCTGGTATCACCAGCTTTTGGAAAACTATCATTCAAGCAGCTCGAAGTTCTGTCTGTCCGTCTAGAAACAGCTGACCAATCAAGCCATCTGGCCATCCCAGTTAAACTCGTATGACTAAATGAACTGGCAACGCAGATGGATAAATTATACCTCATCAGCTACGTATCCTGTTACAGGATGTCTTCCAACGAAAGTGTTCAGCTGGACGGAACAACGTGATATAGCGCAACAAACTGGGTTAAATCGGTCGATTGTAGCATAAAGTTAACATACACACACAGCTATGTTTCAGACGCCGTAGTTTGAAAGTACAAGCCTGAAAAGACCTTAAAAGACCTTTGGCGAATGAATCGAATGAAAGAAGCAGCTAACTAGGTGTTCGTCTCCACCGGAGAACACTCAACAAACGTTTGTGTACATGCTAATAGTTAGAGGCTTGTGTGAATATATTGGCGAACGGTGTTAATCTCGCTAACCGCCACCGGACTCATGCACGTGACCCAATGCAACCAGTCATTCCATCCAAGAGCCGACGTTCCGGTGGCTGCTCTCGGAATCGAGCACGCACCCACGGCAGCTTTGCGTCACTCTACTGGTTTCACACATTCCCAAACCCCGTTGTAGGTGACGACTCCGTTGTGCTGTTCATCTGCATATCACATGACACGAAGTTCTAATTTGCAGACAAGGATGGAAAGTCAAAAATTAGACCGGTTTAATGTCACTGCGGTATCCATTGTGATGTTAGTTTGAAAGCTAACTATGCAATTTGACGACCACACAAATGCGGCAGTATCGAACGTGTTGCACGGTTTAGAATGGGTTTATCAGGTATTCATTCAATTACAGATAAGCTTATATACTTCTATCCTCGTTTATCTAATGAAAACGACACATGGTCCGTGGAAAATAACTTAATAAAAGCGAGGTGTACTCTACCCCTACTCCAAAGCATAAAATCACTCTGACAAATGAGGCTTTTTCAATACCAACGGGGTGTTTAGAGACACCCGATAAAGTTTAGAAACGAATAAGACAAACGAAGCTGAAAATGGCTCCAAGGAAACCAACCAATACGAAGCGGGGATTCCCCTCATTAGAGATTGGATAAAACTGTAATGTTTCGATGAAATATTCATGATCTCATCGTCAGTTTGACAGCACACATCAGGCGGTTGAAATAATGGCGATCTCGGTTCGATGACTGATGTACTTGTGGACCAAATGTCGTTAACCTAGCTGAGACTGTTTACAGTTCGCGCAGCAGACCCATCAGTTCACAAGAACAAGTTTGGCCCGGACCTCGTCAACACTTCAAGCCTTCTACTGACTGAAGATGACGAAAAAATGTCCTGTGAGGCATGACTAGTGGTAGGAATAACTGCAGCAGAACTCTGATAAAGAAACGAAGATAACTAAGTTTGGGTGATACGTGGGTGTTTGTGTTACATCTGCTGATTCGTCAATCTGTGGTATCTGCTGCTGACCCACTCCAGTGCCTAATGCCGGAGAAAAAAGACTCACAGAAGGGAACACAACCGCTATTTTCCGAATGAACGAATGCAAGAGCGTGAGTGCGTGCGAGTGCGAGAGCAAAAGTTACAACGGCCCCACGCTATTTAAAGGAGACTTTCTGACATTGATCCAGGCTGTTTGATAAGCGTTAATGAACACCCATCAACATCAATCGTGCCTCTATGAAATGCCTGAACGCAGATCACATTCGGTAGTGCTTCTGTGGCGTGCAAGAACACTCATCAGGTTTTGCTGAATTGATTGAATGATTGACTGGCCTGGATGCTTGTCGGCTTTCCTGTTGAGTTTTTGGTGCAGCAGTAGGTTCCGGGCGTTCTGAGGTTGCTTTCAGGAATCTGACCTTCCTGATAGTTTGACTTTCGGAACCATACTCGAGCGGGCCTGCAATACAAAGAGCAGGAGCCGGGCAGGATCCAGTGTCAACGTCATCTCATTTTAAGCCCATAGAAGAGACATTGCACACACCAATGTGAGTGGTCATCTAAGTATAATTCAAGCGAAAGAATCTTAGCGTGGGTGACCACCCGTTGAATGGAAGCCTTACTAGTCACAAGCGAAATGAATGAAATGGCATTGAATTTGTTCTTTCGAAGTCTGATGGTTCCAGTTGGCGTCCTAGACATAATGATCAATTACAAAAGTCACTATTTGGCATTCAACCACAAACTAGGTCACCTCAATCAAACCAGCTCACGGTCTGGAACACGTGACTAGGTGTATAGCCTACCAGGTAAGCAAGGTGAGAAAGGACGAATCTCAGAACAAATATGGTGACCTGAAAGGTAGATGTTCAACAGAACATAAAGCTTGAAAAGACGTCCATATTATCCTAGGAAGTCGAGACCGTTTGCACAAAGGCAGGTGATCAACATAGCGGAGTTCAACCGTCCGGATAACTTGTGCGGCGGAGTTGGAGTGGCTTGCGGAGATAACTGGAGATAACCAGTTTTTTAACATTACAAATAGATCATTGGTGAGAAGGATAACTAAATGAACAAAAGGCCGTTGTGAACAATAGAACGGTGTGAAAAATCGAAATAGTGGTTACCCGGAAAATACCTCGGAATGACAACATACTATCTAAGAGATCAAAGTTACACAAGAATGTCTAACTGTGAAAATGCTCCACCAATCTCTGGAACAGGAGGTTTTCGATTAAGTTATGCCTGTAGATGACCGGCTGGCATGAAAAAGATGCAGGTACATGTCTGGAAGGTGATGCGAGAATTATCCGGATACTCTGCACTCATTTCCTTCGTTTCTGAGCCTTTTGATTTCTCAAGGTGAGACGACAAGAAGGTTGTTAGATTAGATCACTTTCATGTTCTGTCCTGAGAGTCCCCCTTTTAGTCCAACAAACTTTCAGTTCATTAGATGCGCCACATGATGTTGGCGATTATGGACAGCTGCTCAGATGGCGGGAACGTGCGTCGATCAGCGATAAAGTGTAGATCAAGCACGATAAGCGCGCGCACATGAACAAACGACCCTCCGGACATGAATCCAGTCATGCAGCAGAATCTGCGATAACTAGTTGGTGTGTCAACCTGAGAACGAAATCACTCTTTACCCTGTATTGGTTTCTCTGCGCGGCCAAACATTAAGCAGTGTGAACAACCGCCGTAGTTGGAGATGATCTCCGTGAGTTTGAGAGTTCTTGTAGCAAAAATAACCAAATTGATTTGCAAATGAGTGTATTTCTCGAAAACAGTCCAATTTGGGTTCAAGTAGGACATGAGGTCGACGGAAACTCGGGGACCACGCTTACCTGATGAGCCCCAAGAAGGGCGAAACCGGTCGTGGGTTGTCGAAGTGTTTTCAGCAACCTTGTGAGTAGTTTCCTTTATCAAAATAACGAGCTATTCTCTCAGGAGATGTTTTTTTGTTAGGGATGCCCTCACAGGTTTTTACAGACAGATGTACCACGATCTTTTATTCCTCACTGATTCTGTCATTCATTTAACAGAATCAGTAAGCTTCAGAGGTCAGTTTTAATCGAACTATCAAAGCGAAGTGCTGTTTTGCCAAGTTACCTGGAAGAGTCCCGAAGACACAGACCTCTCCCTGGAAGTTTCCCCATAAAACAGTCAAAGATTTAGTCGTCTATATGAAATGCGAGGTTCAGTGACGAAAGGACTGCCCACATGTTGTGTGGACATCAGAGACAAACAGATTCCTTGTCAGACGTCTTTGGTAAACGTTCCAGTGTGCCATGGTATTTATAATAAGTAACTGGGAATGTTGGCATACCGTGTTTGGTTTGTATGTCCCAGGTTTGACGTCAGGTGACTCATTTCTTTGTGCCTTTTTAAGGACACTTTTGTCAGTCTGTTCTAGTCACGCTTGATAAAGACAGTGACAACTGCTCAGTTTGGCCACCCCAACCAGAGGATAAGCCAAGATGATAGAAGACGATAGAGCAATTCTTGGCATGGGTGTGTCCGTGGCTTCATAGTGCATTTGGTTCCTTCAAGAAGACGGCGATTTTTAAGGGTAGGGGAATCAAAACCAGATTGCTTGAAGTCTCTGGTTCAAAATTCGTTTGTGTGTGGCCGGTGGTAGTGAAATCTCCGAATGGATTGTTGTATCCTACAACTCCCCGTGGACTCCTTCTTGAACCATATTAGGTTCCAAAAAAAGGGAGGGAACTGGGATCAGTGGATTGTAAACAAGATGCTGTTGTCTTTCACCATATCGTTTGTTGTGGGGAAACTTGGACCGGTTGTGGCTCCCCTTTTCCCTATCATCATACAGATAAGAGTTAGCCGAGGAAAGTTTGAACACTTTGCAATGTCGGATAATTGAACGCAACTCGACAAATATGTTTGATTTGTTGACCAAGGTATAATTTAAGCCACTGTACTGTTATTGTCATAAATAAAATCTTCCGTAGGTTCCCTCCCAGTAAATACAAACGGATTTGCAATGAGGAAGGTGCACAAATGACTAAAGCATATGGCATACACTGGCTTATTTAAGTGGCGGCCGTTCAACTGGACGGATTCGCCAGTTTGTGACAATGCATACCCATCCTTCTTTAACGCCACCTTGACACTTATCTCACCGGTAACCTGTTTAAAAGAATAGTTCTTTCTTTAATAACATGGTAGGACCACAGTCATAGGTATCACATGGCAGACCAGTTATGGTAGGACAATTCTGGCCACAGTCTGACACCCTTTCACAACAGCGTTGGATGTGATCGGGAATGTTGGTTTTAGCTGACCATTTTTGAGCGTCTTGTCTTTTAGTGTCTACCGTGTATGAAACTTTAGGCTTCACGGGATGGAGCGGCCCTGAAACAAGAAACTTTTGGCGAACAGCGGTGATTTAGAAGAGGGGCGAACCAGTTTGACATGACATTTTACAGAAATCACTACAATACACCTGTCGATTGTCCCATGTGAGAGAGACATATTTTCAAATGGTTGGGGACAGGTTTGGGATGATTACTAGTGAATGTTTCAGACTGTAATTTTGCAGAATAATGTAGCCACCATCCCAGTGATATCGAAAAGTCCACCAATGAAGCGTGACAAGCGGTGTCGTTGAGTAGATAGGCCGTTTTGGAAACTATGGAAATTTTCTCGTCTACACTAACACGCTACTCACAAGGTTGCTGAAAACTCTTCGACAGTCGACCACCGGTTCCTCCCTTATTGGAGTGGGTGCGGTTCCCACGTTCACGTCAAACTCGTGTTTCGCATACACTGGGTTCAGTTGGGTCTGCTGTCGAGACCGAATTCGTTTCGAAGAACGATTCTTGCTTCTTTCCGGGGAAACCTCCTCTGAAACAGTGATTTCAACGAGTGACAAATTACACTCAGGATGACTGCAGCGCAAAGTAAATGAAAAGTAGCCCTTTTGCCAGTGTACTTGTTTCTCGTTACTACAATCAACGGACGGCTACAACACCAGTTGTAATAAAATGGATGAATTTGAGAGCAAAAGTGAGTTTGGATAAGGATATAAATAGTTGTTGGTTATATGTTTGCGAACTGCTCTCTGACCCGAATCAACAGATTTGGAATTCTCCTAATTGGAAATCCTGATGGGTTGCACGCATTTTTTGCACTCCAACTACCGATAACCGGTCAAGATTTTTGCACTCCAACTACCGATAACCGGTCTGCTTTTGGGTCAAACAGTCGGAGCTGAAGTCTGTCGAGGATATTCCCAATGCCAACGTGAGGCACCAGGTTCGAGCTTCTCCCAAATGTGGGAAGTAGCTTCAAGTTGTATTCAGATTTAGACCCTAGTCACGAACAGTTCAGCAAGGTGTGTCAGCGTCAACATACTCTGGGCGCACCAGGTTTGCTGTTGGCAAGGTGTGTCAGCGTCAACATACTCTGGACGCACCATCATCATCGACAGTATGACATCGGTGTTCAACACTGATGCTTCACCGCCGTACAACCATGATTTATTGGAATGCTTTATTGTGACAACAAGAACGCCACTGACAACGGTTGGTAGCCATATCTTGTAGTGCCTCCAACCAGGCACAGTGGGGATCGCGCGGTTCCAATCGTGGAAGGCGAGTAGCACCGAAAGCACCCAAGCGTTTTGTGATCTCCTTCATACTTAATCGTCGAACAGAAATACGAATGAATTTCCTAACCTCGCATCAACGTGCTGATCCACATGTGATCAACCACGTGATCGCAATATAGAGGGACCTGACAAACGCATTTTGACCTATCACCAACATTTTCCCTAAAAGAATGCGACGACAAACTTTTCACCCACTCTGAACTCTTGAACATTCGGCGATTGGCACAAAATTTCTATACACGCCTGAAAAATGTTTAGCCTAATTCTTCCAACTATAAGAGGTCTCATCCTTTGACTTTCAGTTGAATTTGACTCCAAAAATGTATTTATTGATCTGGTTAGGTAATTGTTTTAGTCAAAGAATGTATACAACCAATAGTTATGAGTAAAATTTTGGTTCATTGTTTGAATTCACCACTGCAAGGGGTTGAAAACTGAACGACCAGATTTCAGTCAAGGTTGACTAGTGCTCTTTCTAATGGTGTAGCGACGATCCTCGCCATCCGTCATACCCATGCGGTCGAGCATCACACACCTCTGCCTAACGGACAGACAACTGACGCTTGTCAGTAGCATTTGCGTGACGTTTCCGATAGACCAAACTTTGATTTAGATTTGATGGAAATTGCTTGCAAGTAGAGATGAATCCGTAAGGACGAAAGAGGAAGTACAAGAGCTTTCGAATTCAATGGCAGTAAATGATGGATTTGGTGACATGCATAGACGGTCTTTTGACAGGTTCGAACAGTTTCTGATACTATACGATTGGGTAGACAGAAAACACTGGTTTTCCCTTTTTGACTAACCCGCACTTCAAGAGGTCCACGAACTTCCAACAAACTTAAATCCGGCACAACAATTATCCAACCATTCCACAATAAAAACTAACACTCAAAAAGTGTCTTATCATAGGCAGAGTGACCACGTTCGTCACCTTTGAAGTACCTGCATCCCTTGTATCTATAATCCATTGTGACATCTCGGCGCTCTTTAACGTACACTTTTTGTGTATACGAAATTGGCCATATAAAAAATATATAACATATATAACAGCAAAAAGTTTCGATTGGAGCGTGAAACAAGCATAAAAATCTCCCTGGAATGCATAACAGTTCCTCCCGAACAATAAACACCCTGAGAAAATTGAAGACTTTGAAGGGGTTTTACTCTTCCAGTATGGGAGTTGTGGTTCGTATTGCCAAAGGTATCATGTTCAAATAAACATTTGTTGACCATGATCCAATAGGTAGGTTGTTCTAACCCCACCGGATTCACGTGATCTCCCCAAACTGCTGAAAGTAATTAGGAGAATCTCTGAAAACATTATTCGCTGGCCTGATCGAATGTAGAATGCGAGCTGGGGTTGCATGCGATCAGAGTGAAATTAGGTCTCTTCATTGGTCGAAGTTAACAAACCGAATGATTCCTGCATCTGCTGAATGCAGGTGGTGTGGCGTGTTTGGAGGGGTAGAAACATCATCCGAGCTTGTGGTTTCCCAGCTGAACAAGCGGATTTGCGCTAGGGTTGCCCAGTAGCACTTTGATTTTTTCAGGTCATTTTTGATTCAGTTGAGGAAGTAGCTGTTCTAGTGACGCATTGTGGTTTGGTGTTGATCCGTTTTCCCGGTTCACTGACAACCTCCGTATGTGCAAACCGCGCTCCAGAGTCTATCAGTTTTTATCAAACTGTCAGCTCTGAGAATCATGCTTGTAAAGGCTTTCAGTCCAAAGTACACAATTGAGGCTATCATAGGTTGCATCCTAAAAAGTTGTAGACTTTTATGTGTACTCAAATTCTGTTTGGCATGACCTAGATTCATGACATTCTACGGATTTATTACCGTAATGTGCTGCAGTGTACGTATGTCACAGTACCCAGTTTGTCGTGAAACACCCCCCATTGAGTAGTGTTGGATACTAGGCTCTTCCACCGCCAACACGGGCCAGTTGAGCACTGAATTTGGGCCCCTTTCGTTAGACTGTCTACAAAGCCGCAAGGTTGTTAGGACTCTGTTAACCCAAGAAAGTATTTTCTATCAATTGTCTTACTCACCAAATAGGTAGCAGATTTGCGTGTACAGTGTTCGGTTCAAAAGCATCAGGGCTGTCAGACTGAGTTTCTAAGACAACTGAACCCGGTGATAAAATGCTAAACGTAGAGTACTATTGATATTAAACACTTCCGGTAAACAGAGTGCATTGTTCCGCACCGGCCTGCTTACCATCAAGGTGAAGTAAGTTCAACCATGCGGCGTCATATTTTATCCAGATCAGCTACATTAGCCGGACGTGGGTGCGGTCGGGTGTCTGTCAGGAGCATAAACTGCACTCGCATGCTTGTACGCCTTCCTACCTTATTTCGCAAACGTAGCCTACCGACGATTCGCACAGTTGGCTTGCCTCTTCTACCTCCGAACTCAACAAATTCAAGCGCTGATCCACAAATGGGTTTGCTCAAAATAATATACGACATCAATCACTTTGCCTGGGCCTCCATTGACCTGGTGAGGCAGGCGAATCCCATATAGCTTGCATCTCAGTGTAAAAGTAACATTCTTTTGCAACAAGCGACTGGCTATATGATCTATGAACTGAACTCACTAGGCTGAGCGAGTAAACACTATTGTGTTTATCGAACAATCTTGTGACATTCCCACTTCCCTAGAACTAGTTTCTGCACCTAAAGATGATCAATCATGATTACACTATCCGCCCATTCGACTACGAAAAGCTTCAAAACGGCTGATGTTCAGATTCCGAAACCTCACAAAATCTGTCGTAATATTTGGCCTAATTCTGACGGGTCCTGAGAGCAACCTTTGAGTACTAGTGCCGATGCATTGGTTGATTAGATACTCATATTCACTGCAGAGACTTCTCAATCAGGCATCCTGTCAAACAGTTAAGCGCGCCGTACACAATCTGATTTAGATCAACCACATCCAATAAATGTAACCCATATTGCAAACGCTGAATAAGGATACACGATAATAAAACGGACACGAAAAGGTCACGTTAACATCTGACTCAGTGGCCCATGTAACCTGGACACGTTTCGTCCGAAAGCGTGAGGAATTGAAATAGTTTCTTAGGGATCCATCAGACGCACACTAATGTGCGGTCTAGGGAGTGAGTGTCGCTGCGTTCTATCAACCATTCTGCACCGTAAATGCTCTGGCAGGCTGTTGGGCATAATCACGTGGTCTCGGAATTTCTACTGCATCATACTGCACCGTCGGAGCCATCTGGATTTACCCCATAAGAACTACTTCGTTTACAATCCTGAAATTTACTTCGACCGTCATTGCAGTGTACATTCATTGGTGAGGTATACGACGAACGATAAAATCTGACCGGAAAAACGGAATGGACGAATAAACCTATTTTTTCTGTTCCCGCGAAAATGTGGTGAACGTAGGGGACAAATGAGCTATCTGCTGAGAATACAACATAGAGTATTCATTCTATGCAATCAACTATTTGCGAAGAAATCCACCGATCTCCAGCTCCATCGTTTACTTCACCTGGCCAAGGTAAATCCCCGGAAATAAACTGAGTTGAACAGAGAACTCTGTAAGCCTTTTAGGTACCAATCCGTGTTTTCCATAGAGGGATATATTGCTAAACTCGGATAGCGTAGATAATCGTTGGTTTGTTTACTGAGTTGGTCAGTTTGATTGCAAACGTTTCATCACCAATCAACTTGACATCATCAGTGCATTGTTAGGGGGCTTGGTAGCGCTTGGCGATGGGTTGGCGGTTGAGCCAAGCTCACTGAACAAACCGTCCAATCCATTTTTAAGTACAAATCGTTCCAAAAGCGTGAGTACTCTAGCTGGACGATGAAGTGTTGCGTCTTCCCAATCGTTTTTATCCTCCTACTCCTTTTGAAACGTTTGCTCCAGTTATAATTAACCAACTGATTAATTATTGGAATAGTGCTAATAGATTTTTTCTATCAATTAGAAAAAAACATAGGCACAATTGGTTTATCCTTACCAAACTCAGTTCACTGAATACAAGATTAGTCTATTGCACCCCATGAAGAGCTTAAACATCGGGTCCTGAACATTTTCCCATCTCCACACGGTCTACCCGACCAATGTCCTTATGCGACATAAACCCTACTATTCTGAAGGTATCCACTAGCGCTTTCAAAAGGACCATGTTCCAGGCTCGTCGGGTTGACGGCACCGCTCGATTTTCATTCATGAGTGTAACAAACGCTCGCGAACCTTGTTTTTTACTTGATCGATTACAAAGTAGAGCACAATTTGTCGAAACTTGCACAAATGATGCATTTCACCCATCGAGTTATCCAACATACTGAGAATCTGTGATGGCTTACTAACCACCGATGACCGCCAGATGATCAGCTCAATGGATCCAACAGATCTGGTAAGCCACTAGTTTTTTTCGCATTCTAGTCTGGAATAACATAACTGCCTTCCCAAGTGCAAATTTGGCTTTCAGCTCAAAAGAAACTAGCTAAGCCGTTTGGTTGATCATTTCCGTGATGACACCACTCGATGAAATTTTAGTTATAGTTATATTACTCATAATACTACTGAAAGGATTCGAATCATTATATCGCAGATCCTTAAAAGCCGCTGTTGTTTTATCTCGACACATGGAATGTGACATGGGACAAACTTGAGTGTAATATCAGAGAGATGACAGTCAGTCACTCCGTTCAATTGAGGGATGTATTCACAACTGGTGGATCTCCCCTGGGATACATCACAGGAATAATCGCTTACAGAAAGGAAAAAAGAGGATAATCGATCTCTCCGGAGAGGCGGCCTTTCTTGGAGGAACTCCTAGTCGAGGCTGACTTGGAACCTCATGAGTAGTGTGTTCCATCGGGTAATTTCGTTCCCCATCTCGAATATTGTCCCAACCAAAACATGAGAGGGCAGTTGTGCAGCCTATTTAGTTTGAGCATAGTATACACATGAGATTCATGTGGAATCTGTTTGAGACTTAACTTAAAACTAACTTTTTTTCACAAGCTGAGTATATTTTGGGTTTGAGCAGAACAGAACGTAATTGAATCAAGGTGCCCGGGCTTACCTGATTCACCGCTGGAGGGCGAAGTTGCTCGTAGGCTGACAAAGCT